TTGGGAGTTTAGATAAGGAGGAAATCCCTTCAAGAAAAGTTGGAAGAAAAGATATTTGGGTTGAGGCTTGGAAGTAGATAGGATTTGGACAAAGGGAGATTTGGTAAGTTTATTATTATTATTATTTACTTATTCAGATTGATTTCAATCTATTTTGTTAACCAGATTGTCTTTTTTTGAAATTTAATTTTATTTATTTTTTATACAGCAGGTTATTAGTTACCTATTTTATACATATTAGTGTATACATGTCAATCCCAATCTCCCAATTCATCCCACTACCACCACCACCACCACCATCCCTCTTAGCGTCCATACGTTTGCTCTCTACATCTGTGTCTCTATTTCTGCCTTGCAAACCGGTTCATCTGTACTGTTTTTCTAGATTCCACATATATGCGTTAATATGCAATATTTGTTTTTCTATTTCTGACTTACTGCACTCTGTATGACAGTCTCTAGGTCCATCCACATCTCTACAAATGACCCAATTTTGTTCCTTTTTATGGCTGAGTAATATTTCATTGTATATATATGTACTACATCTTCTTTATCCATTCATCTGTTGATGGGCATTTAGGTTGCTTCCATAACCTGGCTATTGTAAATAGTGCTGCAGTGAACATTGGGGTGCATGTGTTTTTTTGAATTATGGTTTTCTCTGGATATATGCCCAGTAGTGGGATTGCTGGATTATATGGTAATTCTATTTTTAGTTTTTTAAGGAACCTCCATACTGTTCTCCATAGTGGCTGCATCAATTTACATTCCCACCAACAGTGCAAGAGGGTTCCCTTTTCTCCACACCCTCTCCAGCATTTTGTTTGTAGCTTTTCTGAAGATGCCCATTCTAACTGGTGTGAGGTGATACCTCATTGTAGTTTTGATTTGCATTTCTCTAATAATTAGTGATGTTGAGCAGCTTTTCATGTGCCTCTTGGCCATCTGTATGTCTTCTTTGGAGAAATGTCTATTTAGGTCTTCTGCCCATTTTTGGATTGGGTTTTTTGTTTTTTTAATATTGAGCTGCATGAGCTGTTTATATATTTTGGAGATTAATCCTTTGTCCGTTGATTCCTTTGCAAATATTTTCTCCCATTCTTCGGGTCGTCTTTTCATCTTGTTTATGGTTTCCTTTGCTGTGCAAAAGCTTTTAAGTTTCAGTAGGTCCCATTTGTTTATTTTTGTTTTTATTTCCATTACTCTAGGAGGTGGGTCAAAAAAGATCTTGCTGTGATTTATGTCAAAGAGTGTTCTTCCTATGTTTTCCTCTAAGAGTTTTATAGTGTCCAGTCTTACATTTAGGTCTTTAATCCATTTTGAGTTTATTTTTGTGTATGGTGTTAGGGAGAGTTCTAATTTCATTCTTTCGCATGTAGTTGTCCAGTTTTCCCAGCACCACTTATTGAAGAGACTGTCTTTTCTCCATCATATATCCTTGCCTCCTTTGTCATAGATTAGTTGACCATAGGTGTGTGGGTTTATCTCTGGGCTTTCTATCCTGTTCCATTGATCTATATTTCTGTTTTTGTGCCAGTACCATATTGTCTTGATTACTGTAGCTTTGTAGTATAGTCTGAAGTCAGGGAGTCTGATTCCTCCAGCTCCATTTTTTTCCCTAAAGATTGCTTTTGCTATTTGGGGTCTTTTGTGTCTCCATACAAATTTTAAGATTTTTTTGTTCTAGTTCTGTAAAAAATGCCATTTGATAGGGATTGCATTGAATTTGTAGATTGCTTTGGGTAGTATAGTCATTTTCACAATATTTGTTCTTCCAATGCAAGAACATGGTATATCTCTCCATCTGTTTGTGTCATCTTTGATTTCTTTCATCAAGGTCTTATAGTTTTCTGAGTACAGGTCTTTTACCTCCTTAGGTAGGTTTTTTCCTAGGTATTTTATTCTTTTTGTTGCAGTGGTGAATGGGATTGTTTCCTTAATTTCTCTTTCTGATCTTTTGTTGTTAGTGTATAGGAATGCAAGAGATTTCTGTGCATTAATTTTGTATCCTGCAACTTTACGAGATTTGGTAAGTTTAAAAAGAGAATGTGTAGTGTCTTTTTGCATAGTGTTCTGAGTGGTAATTTAGTAAACAAAAGCTTTCACCAATTCTAAACATAGGCAATGGAAAAAAGTTATTGTGCTTCCCATGGATTTGTAAACAAGGACTCAAGGACCTGTGGGCAAATAAATCAGATTGCTGCTGGGCTCAAAACTACTTTCTCAAGGGAAGTCTTCTAGATTCTTTCTCTCAGTTCTGAGCTCAAGTTTGTCTTATACTATGAGGTCTCCAGTTTATTTGTTTATTGATATTTTGCCTCTTAAAGTTCACTTCAGTTGTACATTCTGGATGATGATAAGTCTCTAAGCAGAGTTTATGTTAGCCAGCTGTTGAAAGAATCAGCTGTAATAGTCTGTGACTTGGGTGATGTCACAGCACCTTGTAAACTGTAAAGGACTGTGAGCATTAGATTCATAGATTTGGAAGTAATCTTAAGGGTCTTCCAGTTTTGCAAATGAGATCAAGCATAGCCCAGGATGACAGTGCTAGAACCAGAACCCAGCTCTTCTGATAATTAGCAATGCCTGCCATCTTTCTCACTACATTTACCAATATTTGAGCACCTACATGAATTAGGCATGGTGCTAAGAGCTAAGGAAATAACCACATTCAAAACAAATATGATTATTTCCCTTTAGGAGTCTATACGGGGGAAACAAACAAATGCAAACAAATTAAATTATGGCAACTTGTGATAAATGAAATTACAAAAATAGGTTGCTTTAGATAAGGCAGTGGGGTAACATTTAAGCTCAAACCTGAAGGAGACCACAGCCAACCAAAAGTGAATGGGGAAGAAGCAGGGGGAAGGGGAGCGCTCTTCCAGGCAGAGGAAACAGCAAGTGCAGAGCCCTGGGGAAGAAAAGAGCTTCGCAGGGTCCACCAGGAACTGACCAAAGGTCAGGGTGAAGATGATGCCAAGTTGAAGCAGTAGAGAGGTGCTAGCTCACAGGTCACAAACTCAAATGCACAGCTGGGCGGACAAGGGCATGTTTGTTCAAATTTATTAAAGATTCTGTGAGCCAAACAAAACACAGCATGTCTAATGCAGCCCAGAGGCCACCATTTGGTAACCCCTGAGGGCCTTTTTTTTTTTTTTTGGCAGCGCCTCGAGGCTTGTGGAATCTTAGTTTCCAGACCAGGGATTGAATCTGGGCCCTCAGCAGTGAAAGTTCTAACCGCTTGGACCGCCAGGGAATTCCCAGGGCTTGGTATTCTTACTATAAGGCAGGTGAATTTCTAAGTGCAAATGGATTGCTTTTGAGGGATTTTGAGCAGGGGCAGATCTTATTTGTGTTTTAACAAGATCGTTAAAGTACTTTGGCTTGAGATAAAGATAAGAGTTAAGCACCAAGGTCACGCAATAGGCCCAAGCCACCTCCCTGTGCTCTCCTTTCCTTCCCTGCAACAGAGCCAAGGACCCAGCCAGCTATCTTCTCTTTCTATCTCTGCCCACTCTCCTCATTGGATTCTCTTCACTCCAAGCTTGGTTGCTAAAAGGGAAATCAGCTATTCACGTCTTCTCATTATCTTGCTACTACCAAAGACATATATACATACATACATACATACATACATACATACATACATACATACACATATGTAGTATATTATATATAACATACACACAAATATGTATGTATATACAAGTATATGCTTTTTATTTCCCAAGGTTCCACTTCAAATCACTGGGGAAACAGAATAGAGATAAAGGTACATGCCCTGTTTCAAGAGTACAGAATTCATTTGTTCATTCTGGCCCCTGACTCTTGCTCAGATAGTAACGGGACACAGTCTAGTCCTTTAGAATTGCGCTCTTATTCTTCAGTGGGGGGTTTTGCAAAACTCATCCCTTCTTTTAAGTTTCCCTGTACTACTCCCTCCATTTTAGAGGAAGGGTTTAACTCCATGAAGGTGGGACTTCCCAAACAGTACATGTATCAAGGTCATAGGAAGGTAACTTGCATCCCTTGTGACAATATCTCACCATTTTCTAATCTCTAAAATGCTAATCATAGCTTTCCCTGGGTAAAATGAGATAAAATCTATAAAGTGAGTGGCACATAGTAGGTGGTCAGCTAATGTTTGACTCAGCCCATGATCCCCTGTGGGCATTTCCTCACAAAGTTTCAGATGGATATTTCTGTAGTTTCTTATCCACTTTTCTTTGGTATTTGTTCTAGCACACACTAGGGCTCCCACAAAAGTGACTGAGTGAAAACTTGGCGGCAGTGGGTTCCTCACCCCACAATAAACACTTTCAGAAAATGCTACTACGCAATGGAATATTACTCAGCCATAAAAAGGAACGAAATTGGGTCATTTGTAGAGACGTGGTTGCATCTAGAGACTGTCATACAGAGTGAAGTAAGTCAGAAAGAGAAAAACAAATATCCTGTATTAACGCATATATGTGGAACCTAGAAAAATGGTACAGATGAACCTGTTTTCAGGGCAGAAATAAAGACACAGATGTAGAGAACAAACGTATGGACACCAAGGGGGGAAAGCGGGAGGGGATGGTGGTGGTGCTGGTGGTATGAATTGGGAGATTGGGATTGACATATATACACTAATATGTATAAAATAGATAACTAATAAGAACCTGCTGTATAAAAAAATAAATTAAAAAAAAAAAGAAAATGCTACTACGGGCCTTTTGTTACTGAGCAGCCGTACCTTTCAGAACCCTATGGTGCTCTCACATTCCACCTGGATGGCCTGATCCAAATGGCTTATTTAACCAAGGTCACACTCGTTGCTCATCAACTACGGGAGGTGAAAAAGACAGTTGCTTAGGTTTAGAACGAGCACCGGTAAGCCCCAAAGATCCCGCCTTCCACGGGGCGAGCCTATCAGCGTTCCTCTAGCGAAGAGCGGCAGCTCAGTAGGAACCAATGAGTTCCGCTCCCTGGAATGATCCCGCCCATCCGTTGTGTTGTCGCTCTGCCTCTTGTAAAATAGAACCGGGACTTGCGCTTCCTCTTAGCGTGCCTATCGGCTGGTGTCTGCGTTGAAACTCTACGGAAGCCTGACCTTAAAGGGGAGGGAGCAGCGGGGGGCCGGGGCCCTTTAAAACGAGGCCCGCGGGTGCCTGCCCCTTTAAGGGAAGGGCGTCCAGACGACAGAACCTGAGCCCCAGATTACCCCGAGTCTTCGTCACAGGCTGCAAGAAACGGCTCCTTCGCTGGGTCCGGGTGCTTGGCGGCGGCGGTTTCATCCCCGCTGGTCCTCCCCGGGCCCGGAGACACCCCCACCCCAGTCATGCTGAGCAGAGTATGGAAGCAGCTGACTACGAAGTGCTATCCGTGCGAGAGCAGCTATTCCACGAGAAGGTCCGCGAGTGCATTGTGAGTGCGGGACCCGGGCAGGAAGGGTAGGACCAAGTGGGGAACGGGGGTCGCGGGAGAGGGAGGGTCCGGGTCGGAGTGAGACCATCTGGGCTCAGAGTGCCGGCAGACAATGCTTGGTCCAGGGGCTAACGACGAAGGGCCCTGGTCCGACCAGCGCTCGGGCTGGCGAATCCCTAGATCTGGTCAGCTGGGTAGCTGCGCGATAAACAAAGCCGATCGGTTTCCGTTCCTCCCACTCGACACGCCCCTCCCCCCCTCCTGTCCCCCACCCCCGCCCATGTTTGGAGTGCAGGTCTTCGTGTGTCTGGGAGCCTGGTGAGCCTGCCGGTTTTAGTCAGATGGTTGGAGAGGGATGGGTTTGCCGGGGGGGGAGGCTTATTTGCACTTACCCCTCAAACCCAAATAATGTTTGATGAAGGGGAGACGAACAGTGGACTTCGGTGGGTTTCCCACTTTAGAAGAAAGTACTCTTGCTGAGGTGGATTCTACTGTGTAGAGATGGGGAACAAATAAAGTTTCCCCTTCTTTTCCTCCCCCTTATTGGTGTTTGTTAGAAATCCTGCAAGCCGAGTTTCCTAGCTTCCCAGCCATTCAGGGATTTCCTGTGAGTGGTTTCCCCCGGTGCTACAGAGGGCACCTGGCTGCTTTCCTTACTGCCTCACTGCCACCTAGAGTAACAGCTGAAACTGCCACACAGCAAGGGACTCCTCACTTCTGGGCCAGGGACACCCAGTGGAGTTTAGGGGATCGCATCTTTCTCAGGCCGGCTCTGAACTCTCATCTCTCTCCTTTTCTCTGTCTCCTCCCTTGGAGCTCCCCTGGGTAGCCCTCACCCACAAATACTAAAGGGAAAGGGAAGGGTTTAGAAGAATAGAAGTTAGTGAGTGGAGAACCCACTGATGGGGTCATCCTTCATTTTTCTCAGACTTGGCCGTAGTCTGCCCTGGGCAGCCTCAGATTGGAGGAGGGCTAAAGTGAGCCATGGCATAACTAGGTCTGCCCTTATCTGTGAGGACTGAGAAGTAGGGAGTAAATCTGTCCATGTGTAGAGCTCCAGATCTGCTTTCAGGAAGCTTTCCTTGTGTGTTTCTTAGTGGATAGTTCCACATGACAGGGTTGGGCATATCGTGGAGGCACACCCAGGCCTTGAGACAGTGTAGAGCCAGAGACCCACATTCCTAGAGAACAGGGAGGGATGAGACCTTGGACAGAGAAGCAGCCTCCTGGATGTCTCCCCCATCCTTTAGTCCCATTAGCTGAGGACATCAGTGCTGGCCAAGGGCAGCCTGAAGGCTTCTAGTACCTCCCCCACCTGGCTCCAATCCCCTGCTCTAGAAAATGACCTAGCCTCTGCTGGAACTGCATGGAACTGCGTGGAACTCCAGTCTGACCTTTTGAGCCCTCCCACCTTCCTGCTTATTAAGCAAGCCCAGGGCAGAGCACTAGGCAGTAAAAATCTTGCAGTTACAATCTGAGTGGCTCATTCTACCCTACTTCCCTGATATTAAAAGCTACAGTTTTGTCCTGGACCCTTGGTTCTCCTGGGGTCTATGACTTCTCTCTTTGCATAGAGAGCTGTATGCAGATTCCCTGTAGGGTCAGCTCCTCTTGGGGACTGGAGCGCCTATGAGACTGATTCTGCCTTCTTTTTTTAAATTTATTTATTTTTGGCTCCGTTGGGTCTTCGTTGCTGCGTGCGGGCTTTCTCTAGTTGCGGCGAGTGGGGGCTACTCTTTGTTGCAGTGCATGGGCTTCTCATTGCAGCAGCTTCTCTTGTTTCGGAGCATGGGCTCTAGATGTGCGGGCTTCAGTAGCTGTGGCAGGTGGGCTCAGTAGTTGTGGCTCTCAGACTCTAGAGCGCAGGCTCAGTAGTTGTGGTGCACGGGCTTAGGTGCTCCGTGGCACGTGGGATCTTCCTGGAGCAGGGCTCAAACTCGTGTCTCGTGCATTGGCAGGCGGATTCTTAACCACTGCGCCACCAGGGAAGTCCCTGATCCTGCCTACTTCAAACGCAATAACATCTCAAGATTCTCTGGCCCTGGTTGTGGAGCCAAGCTGTCTAGTGGCTCCTTCCCTGGGCAATAGCAGCTTACTTGTGGTAGAGTAGGGATGCATGCATGTGTAGAATGACCTGGCCAAGTCCTGCCATAACTGTCCATTGGAGGAGTAGTCCCCCAGGGGCATGGGACAGACCCTTTGAGGCCTACCCTGCAGTTGCAAATCACCTTAGGTAGGGACCAGGGATTGATAGCTTTTAAAGGGACTGATGCCAGCTCTAGAAACTTTATAGATGTGGGGCCCCAATTAAAGCCTACTATTAAGGACAGGGCATCAAAGAGGCTCTAGTTTGGCCCAGAGCAGACCTGATCTTTCAGGGCCCCTGAATAAACAGAGTGGAAGCTCTGAGTTGGTCTAGGAACATGATTCCTACTTATTTTCTCCTAGAGCTTGGATCAAGGTGGGAGTGGAGGAAGAGGGGGGTGCAGCACCAGGACAATGCAGACATCCCCTTCTTCCCCTCAAACCTGCTTCCTTTTCCAATAATGTGCTAGGAGTAAATTCCCTCTGGTTCTGTGGCCTGTTTCAGGTGTGCGGATATGTGCATCTCTAGGCGTCTTCTCTGACAATTTACCAACCAGGGTTCAGTTGGAACTATTTTTTTCCTGGGAAAAAACCCTTGTAGAGCTGGGCATGGTACTGTTTTCCCAAGTGCATGGGACAGCCCCTGTCTGATGCTTCTTGTAGGCCCCTGAGGCCTTGACTAGAAGGAAGTACTGGGGAGAAAGATGGAACCCCTGGAAGTATGGAGCCTAGTTTTGGGAAAGTGTCCCTGTGGAATTAAGAGAGGCCATTGGGGCTGTGAAATGTGTGGGGCTTAGAGCTTCTCATCTCGCTCACACTCTGCCACAGATCTCAACACTTCTGTTTGCGACACTCTACATCCTCTGCCACATCGCCCTGACCCGCTTCAAGAAGCCTGCTGAGTTCACCACAGGTACCTGTGACTTCCCTCCCTTCTGCCTGCCCTCTGCCAGTGTTCCCGTTGCCATGGCACCAGCCTCAGGGGAAGCAGCCTATGGTGCCTGCTGGGAAAGGAGGGGTGGCTGTTCTGGAGCCTCTGCCTCTTCTGCCTCCCTCCCTCCACAGGCAGAGACAAGGTGGTAGAGTGGAAAGTCTAGATGGAAGTCCCTCAACTAACAGAGCCACAGGGCAAGTAATGCAACTCTTGTGACCCTCAGTTGCATCCTCTACAAAATGAGCCTAACAGTCTCTACCCAGTCCACTGTCATTGTGTAGAGCAGATATGATGGCTAATGTGAAAGCTCTCTGTGAACCTAAAGCAGGCAGCTGCAGGGTGAATGTTATCATGGGCACAAGCTCTGTCATCTCCTCTCCTAGTGCTCCTAGTGCTCAGAGACCTCCCTGACCACTGGGACCCCAGGACCCGGTGATGGTGACCTTTCTCTTGGTAGAGAGTTCAGATTAAAGCTTTCTGTAGGCATTGTGTGGTTAAGGGGAGGGACACACTTACCACAGTTCCTAGCTCCAGCCTGTCCAGATCTTCCTGTCCTGGCCTGAAGCTTTCCTCCCCTCCAGACGGCTTTATGCACCCTCAGACAAGAAGGCAGCTAGTCCTCAGTGTGATTTCCCTGGGGACTTTCTCCATGATTCTCCCTCCCCGCCCTGCGCCCCCGCCATTTCCCTTTGCTATACCTAGCCACTGATGTAACCAACCTCACAGACCAGTCATTCATTGTATTTGCAGCTTACAAAGAGGAACCTATGATGGAGGAGAGCTGGGGAAGGAGGGAAGTGGGGGAATTTCTGGTCCATACTCTCTCCACCTGGGACCACTGATTTTTTTTTTTTTTTTTGCGGTACGCGGGCCTCTCACTGTTGTGGCCTCTCCCGTTGCGGAGCACAGGCTCCAGATGTGCAGGCTCAGTGGCCATGGCTCACGGGCCCAGCTGCTCCACGGCATGTGGGGTCTTCCCGGACCGGGGCATGAACCTGTGTCCCCTGCATCGGCAGGCAGACTCTCAACCACTGCGCCACCAGGGAAGCCCCTGAGACCACTGATTTTTTAGCTGCCACCCTGGCCAGAGAATAGGTTGTGGGGTTCATAGTGTGAGCTCTCCCAGGGCCTCCTGCCCAGCTCTGCCTCAGTGGGCCCAGGCCCTTCTTTCAGGAGACAGGAGGGAGCAGGAGAGCACACTGCAACACAGATGGCTCCCAGAGCTGCACACTGATGGCCTGCCTCTTCCCCATGCCTCTGTCTTTTGTAGCGGATGATGAAGATGCTACAGTCAACAAGATTGCGTAAGTGTCATTGCCTCAGTACCTGGCACTAGTAGCCTTTAGAAGCTGGGATCTGAGGCCCCTGGAGCTGGGGGAGAGTAGGGTGTCAGAAGAGAGAGTTTCTGCTTCTGCCCCATTTCTGGCTTCTTCTGGCTTTACGCTATCCTAGGGATGCTTGGAAAAGCTGCTGTTCCTGTCTCCCAGGTTGGGCCGGGAGCTTCAAGCAGCCTCTTGGCCAGGAACTCTGAAGCCTCTTCTGCGGGCCTAAGTCACCAGAAGTGGCTCCAGCTTGGCGTCACCTCCCAGCAGCCACTGGAGAGGGTGTGGGGTGGGGATACAGACTGATGGAAATGGCAGGGGATGGGGAAGGTGGAACCCCCAAAGGCGGGACATGCTTATTTCTGAGAGGATGGCCCTTACTCTAGGCAGTTATTATTCACTAGCACCTAAAGAGAAAAATATAGAGATGACCCCTCTGATTCAACAGGCAACAGATTAAAAGGCAACCCCCCTCTCTCACCTCCCATGGACCAACTAGATAATTGTCCCTTCTTTTCAGCTGATGCAGCCCAGGGCACAGGCCTTGGCTATGAAGCTGGGTTTCAGCTCCCCTTGTCCCCGCTTTGCCTTAGTACCTTCCCATAGGGCATAGCCATATGGAGTGACCCTGCTCTGTCCAGGCTGAAGAAGGCAAGCTCAGAAATCCACTTCCCTGAGCTGAGCAGAGAAGTCAGGCCCTTTAGCTTGGCATCATGCCCGGCACACCCTATAGGCAAGTGCGGGAGGACCTCATTCCTGGGGACAGTCTGGGCAAGTGATATGGCAGGCGACCAGTTTCCCATAAATGCCTGAGCTGTTCCCATCCCACATTCCAAGGCTTTCCTGGAGGTAAGGGCTACGGTGGGGAGGCAGTGGGTAGAGCCCCAGCTAGACAGCTCTTTCCCTAGGTCTGTCACTGCTACAGCTGGTTCTAGAAGTCACAAGTGCCTGTGGGGACGAATGGGGCTTCTTGGGCCCAGGGAAGTGAGTGTCTGAGCTAATCAGAGGCACTTCCCCTTCTCTGCCCAGGCTCGAGCTGTGCACCTTCACCCTGGCAGTCGCCCTGGGTGCTGTCCTGCTCCTGCCCTTCTCCATCATCAGCAATGAGGTGCTGCTCTCACTGCCTCGGAACTACTACATCCAGTGGCTCAACGGCTCCCTCATCCATGGTACATCGATCCTGGTTGCAGCTGAGGGTGGGGATGGAGAGCAGATAGGGTAGGGCAGACACAGACAGCCTGGGCTAATCAGTCATAGAGCACCCCATCCCTCCCGCCTTCCCTGCCACATGGTCAGTCCCCAGTGGGTTGGGGTCCCCCCTTAATGACCATCTCTGCTTCTCCTTTTTTGCTCTAGGCCTCTGGAACCTCGTTTTCCTCTTCTCCAACTTGTCCCTCATCTTCCTCATGCCCTTTGCATATTTCTTCACTGAGTCTGAGGGCTTCGCTGGCTCCAGAAAGGTGAGTGGGGGAATGTATCAATCAATCTGTGCAGACAGGAGACAGGATTCCACTGAGATGGTTCAACTGAAGAGATTTTAATGAAGAAACTATTTGCAGAGGTTTAATCAGCACTAAGGAGCTTGAGGCGCTAGTGACAACAGGAGGTCATGACCACCCCTAAGCCTGTGGGAGCCAAAGGAAGAAATAATTTCTGGAAGCCACTGATAGTGGAAACTGGGGAGGTGTGGCCACCCAGGAGAGGAGCTAGTGTCCAAGGTGCCCAAGGTGGGAGGAAACACAAAAAATTACCCTGGACTCTTTCTCTTCCTACCTTCCACTCTCCTGCCAGCCCTTCCCATTGGGCAAGGTGAACAGGAAACCAGAGGGCAAAGAGCTTATGTGACACAGACCTCGGGGTCAGCCTCCCAGGGCAAGACAGGGATGGAGAAGGGATCTGGGGAGGGGGATTGCAAATGAAGGATATCCAGTAGAGGGAATGATCCCGGACTGTGGGGCTGGAGGACAGAGTGACTTAGCAGAGTAAGCGGGAAACGCCCTCCGCTGCCTCCTGAATCCGGTCCTCTCGGGTCCCCAGCCAAGCTGCCATCTCTGCCGTCTCCTTCCTTCCCCACACTGCCCGCCCCCCACCTACTGCCTCCTCCTGTAGGGTGTCCTGGCCCGGGTCTACGAGACGGTGGTGATGCTGATGTTCCTCACTCTGCTGGTGCTGGGAATGGTGTGGGTGGCGTCAGCCATTGTGGACAACAGTAAGGCCAGCACGGAGTCCCTGTATGGTGAGAAGGCCAGCTTCCTCCCCACCCTCCAGGCCGGCTGACTCTTCAGCTGCCGATGTTCCCTTGCCCGGACCAACTGTATCCCTCTAAAGTGGAGCAGTTTGGGACCTTCCCCCTTAGACTGAAGTTTCAAACGGATGGATTTCAGGCCAAATCCAACCTGTAGAAGTGTTCCATTGGGCCCATACAATGATTAAAAAAAATGTGAGTCCGTTGAAACGGGGAGATTTCACATTAATATCCAGGTTTCTGGCTTTGCTTGACAAGGTTGAGGATCTGGCCACACTAGGCCCCAGTGACTGGGGCCAAATAGTGGTTGTGCCCTTTAGATAGGATCTCCAGTTTGCTATAGTCTCTGTCGCTCCTTCTTCTGGCCAGCTTTCCTCATTTACATTACTTTCCTAACCCCTATAGGCTTTTGTCTTGTGCCTTTGCCTAGACTCTGAGGCCTGTCATCCCCCAGTAAGCAGGAGGAGAGAGATGGGCTGACGTACTTTTTCTTACCCTTAGACTTCTGGGAGTACTACCTCCCCTACCTCTACTCCTGCATCTCCTTCCTCGGGGTCCTGCTGCTCCTGGGTGAGTGTTCAGGACCTGAGAGGGAATGGGTAAGGTCCTCAGGCCAGAGCAACCAGGGTGGAGGACGGAATGGAAGGGTGGGTAGGGGAAGCGGTAGAGAGAAGGGTCTGGTAGGTGACTGGCTCCTGTCCCCACAGTGTGTACTCCGCTAGGTCTCGCCCGCATGTTCTCGGTCACTGGGAAGCTGCTGGTCAAGCCCCGGGTATGTAGTGCCCCTTGTCCTTTGATCCTGCAGGGCGGGCTTCCTGCAAAGCTGGAGCCAAACAATGAAGCAACCCTACAGTTGTGCAGTGCACACCTTGCAGAGGGCCACAGCCTTTGCTGGCTCCTGTATCCTTGACCCTCATCACCTGGAGCTGGTCACCAGGCATACAAAGCAGAAGACATGGCAGCTGGGAGGGACTGCATAAAGTGCCTGGCCGCAGGGCGGTGAATGAGGGAAGGGGAAGGAATAGGACAAAGGAGGCCTGAGATGAGCAGGCTTCTCCTGGGGCCTTTGGGATCAGGGAGCCTCTGACAGCCCATCCCTCCCTTTCCCCCGCCCACAGCTGCTGGAGGACCTGGAGGAGCAGCTGCACTGCTCAGCCTTTGAGGAGGCAGCTTTGACCCGCAGGATTTGCAGTGAGACGCAGCTCTTCCCAGTTGGGATGGTGAGCGTGGCTTGGGCAGGGCCTGTGCAGGACTCGGGGACAGCACCATCTTCTCTGCCCTCAGATCCCACTTCCTGCTGGCTGCCCTTGGACATGGAACTGCTGCACAGACGGGTCCTGGCTCTGCAGACACAGAGGGTCCTGCTGGGTATGTGGGTTGGTAGGCACTGGGATGCCTGCTTTCCCCAAGGAGAAGAGAGCCTCATTCTAGGCCCTTGCTAACTGCTTCCCATCCCTGCACAGAGAAGCGGCGGAAGGCTTCAGCCTGGCAGCGGAACCTGGGCTACCCACTGGCCATGCTGTGCTTGCTGGTACTGACGGTACGGATACCAGCCTTGGTGGGGGTGGGAGGTAGTAGGCCCTTGAGTACCTTAGACCTTCTCAGGGAGCAGGGAGGAGATGCAAGGACCTGGTTATCATCAATAATAGTAGTTGCCTCTCAGCGAGTATCTACTTTGTGTCCCGCCTTGTGCTGAGCACATCAGTCCCCATTTTGTAGATGACGAAACTGAGAAGTTAAGGAGTTTGCCCAAGGCCGCGCAGGGCCTAAGCAGTTATGCAGGTTTGCTCTGGGGTGAAAATAAGGGTCGAAATCCAGTCCATCCCCCCATTTGCTACATCCTGGACTTGGGAGTAAGTCTTATTTGTCTGGAGGAAGAGGTATATTTTTCTATTTGGCCTTTTTGCAATCCTTCCCATCTGGAGAGGGTGCACCTTATAATACCCTCAAAGGTGCTCTCTTGCTAGCATCAGCCTTCAGGAGGTCCCACACAGCTAACTGGAAACTGAAAATGTTGGACCAGAGTGTCTGCTCTTAACATTCAACTCTGGATACAACTGTGGGCTGGGACAGGGATGGGAGTGCATGACCTTGCCTCACACAGGGTCTGTCTGTGCTCATTGTGGCCATCCACATCCTGGAGCTGCTCATCGATGAGGCTGCCATGCCCCGGGGCATGCAGGTACTGGGCTGCCCTCCCACCGCATCTTTTGGGGAGGGCCTAAGAAAGGCTGGGTGAGGGGGCAGAAGCTGAGGCCAGAGGGTAGGCTGGGTGCGGGTGGCATTGATGATGGTGGGGCGTGCTGCACAGTGACACTGCTCCATCTCTCAGGGTGCCTCCCTGGGCCAGGTCTCCTTCTCCAAGCTGGGCTCCTTTGGTGCCGTCGTTCAGGTCGTACTCATCTTGTATCTTTCTGGAAACCCACCGTTGCCTCTCTTCACCAAACCTGTCTCCTCTGGGTTGCTGGGCAGAGCTACAGTGGGAGTGATAGGGAAGGGGGCAAGACTTGGCCAACCCGGGGTTCAGAAAGAAGGAAAAGACTTGATTTGAAAGGAGCGCTGGGGGAGAGAGGTCTGTTCCCTTTGAGATGAGGCATTAATCCCTGGGAGCAGACCAGTTCTTCCCTAACCCAGTGACAGTTACCTGATGGTTTCCTCGGTCGTGGGATTCTACAGCTCTCCACTCTTCTGGGGACTGCGGCCCAGATGGCATGACACAGCCATGACGCAGGTAGCTGGCCTGGGGGGCGTGCCTGGGCACTAGGTGCTGGCAGCTCTGCTACCCTGACCTGCCCTTTCCTTAATCCCACCCAGATAATTGGGAACTGTGTCTGTCTCCTGGTCCTAAGCTCAGCACTTCCTGTCTTCTCTCGAACCCTGGGTAAGTAGCAAAAGGAGGTAAGAGAATTGGCTTTTTTTGAATACCTACTGGTACTAAGCAGACACATTATATTCATGCTCTCTCTAATTCCCACAACAAACCTATGAGGAGGGATTATCTCCATTTTACAGATGGAGAAACAGAGGCTCTATAAAATGCTATGCTGAGCTTCAGAGTAGTGTTGCTTCAAAGCTCATACTTTTTCCATTTGCTACATCCATCCCACAGCCTCCCCTACTTACTTCCATTTTTTTTTTTTGGTGGAGAAGCACCACTTTCCCCCAAATCTTCTTTTGTGGTGGATCATCTGATAAACAGTTCTTTCTTTTTCTGTGGCATGAGGGATCAACCCTTGCCCCCTGCAGTGGAAGCACGGAGTCTTAACCACCGGACCACCAGGGAAGTCCCAACATTCTCATTTAAAAGACGAAAAACAGGGACTTTACCGGCGGTCTAGCGGTTAAGACTCCGTACTTACACTCCAGGGTGCGCGGGTTCCATCCCTGGTTGGGGAAATAAGATCCTGGCTTGCCGCGCTGCGTGGCCAAAAAAAAAAAAAAAAAAAAGAGAAACAGAAAAGCTAACTGATTTACCCAGAGTTATACAGCTTGTTTGAAGCAAGGCCAAGCCAGGCTAGAACCTCTGTCTCCTGAACCCCAGTCCAGTGTCAGTGCTTTTTCTACACGCTGGGCATGAAATAGCATGCTCAGTTCTTCTCCCATCTTTAGCTATGATCTAGCATTACCTGGTAAAAATGTTCGAAACTGTAACTGCTTCACCCAAGGTAGTAGGGGAGTTGCATAGGTTCCCCACCTCCCCACCATCGTCATCTATATACTGTACATGATTTAGTATTTACGTCAGTTCTATTTGATTCTTAAGTTCATATTCTCTCTACTCTACCATTTGTACTTATGCCATGGCGATTTAGGAAACTTGGCCTGTGGGTCCACCAGTTAGTTCCTTTAAGGTTGGATGCTGGTAGGAATATTTTTTAAGTGGGGGGGGCGGGGCTCCAGAATTTTTTTTTTTTTTTTTTTTTTGCGGTACGCGGGCCTCTCCCGCCGCGGAGCAGCAGGCCCCGGACGTGCAGGCTCAGCAGCCGTGGCTCACGGGCGCAGCCGCTCCGCGGCATGTGGGATCTTCCCGGACCGGGGCACGAACCCATGTCCCCTGCATCGGCAGGCGGACTCTCAACCACTGCGCCACCAGAGAAGCCCTCCAGAATTTTAATTTATGATGATTATATTATTATTGTTAGGGGCTTGGTAAGTGTTGGAATAGTGCCTGGCACATATAGTGCTTTATGTGTGTTGTCTCATTTAATTCTCACAGTCCCATTATTTTCTCTATAGTTGAAGAAACGGAGGCACAGATATTTAATGAATTTGCTCCAGATCACACAGTTAGATAGGGCGGGGTTCGGATATGAACCAAAGCAGCCATGACCAGAGTCAGAGCTCTTAGCCTCCACACTGCTCTGTCTACTAAAAAGAACATTTGGCTTGTAGGCTCCTGGCCCAGGAACAAGTAGCAGGCCCAGGATGCTCCTCAGGACTCCTGGAGCCAGAGGGCACCCCCCATGGGAGGAGAAGATGCCAGACTCTGGAAGGGAAGTTAAAGCAAGCCTAGCTGCTGACACTTTCTTCAATAGCCCTGAACTGTCCCTGAGACAGAGCTTGGGAGATAGGAATAACGAATGAATAGAAGCCAACCTATTAGTTGCAGTGTTGAGATGTGGCCACCAGGAGGCAGCAGAAAGCTGGGCTCTGAGCCAGGGAAGGGTTGGGGAGCCTACCTCCCATCCTGGCCTTTGTACTTCAGGGCTCACTCGTTTGGACCTTCTGGGTGACTTCGGACGCTTCAACTGGCTGGGCAATTTCTACATCGTGTTCCTCTACAATGCAGCCTTCGCGGGCCTCACCACTCTCTGTTTGGTGAAAACCTTCACCGCAGCTGTGCGGGCAGAGCTGATCCGGGCCTTTGGTGAGAGGGAGTGGCGGTGAGGCTGGTGGGGTTGTGGGATGGAGCCCTCTGGAACAGTGGTCATCCCAAGCAGGGGAGATGGCATGCTGTCTGCTTTGCAGCGTATCTCATCCACCCATTCTGTGGCTTGGTTGTCTTATCCCTGAGGACTGAACCTATATCCTGCTTTTGACTGCCCACCCTGCCTCTTCCACAGGGCTGGACAGACTGCCATTGCCGGTTTCCGGTTTCCCCCGGGCATCTAGGAAGACCCAGCACCAGTGACCTCCAGCTGGGGGTGGGAGGGAGAAAACTGGACACTGCCATCTGCTGCCCAGGCCTGGAGGGGTGCCCAGGGGTGGGTGGACCTCAGGACCTGGAATCTGAGAGGGTGGGTGGCAGAGGGGAGCTGAGCTGTCTGCACTGTTGCATCATCTGAGCCAGAGTTTGGGACCGGGCCCCCCAGCTTTTCCAGATTTAACTGTGGGCCCCAGCGTGAGGTGGGGCTGGGTGACTGGGTCTGGCTCCCTGTCCCAAATTCGTTTACACATCAATCTGCCTCACTGCTGTTCCGGGCCATGCCCATAGCCATGTTTACATGATTTGATGTGCAATAGGGTGGGATGGGCGCAGGGGAGGGACTGAGCTGGGGGCAGACTTGGAAGGCAGATTGTCTCCCTTGCCTCTGGCCCAGCAGAGCCTAAGCCCTGTGCTATCCTGGAGGAGCTATGGACCACTGGAGAGACGGGGTCATAGGGAGGAGAGGCCACAACCATCAGCAATAAAGTTGATCCCAGGGTCTGCTTTGGTTTTTTTAAAGGGCCTGTCTCTGTGTCTATTTGAACAGCTTTGCTCCCACCAGTCCTGAGTCTGCAGAGAGAAACAGAGGGGTCCTTCCCACCATCCTTTCCCTTCCCCTCCATCCGCATCCTCAGTGACCTTTGGGGACTTGGGTCTGGTGTTAGACCATACAATTAGGCAGTGGGAAGCTCCTCTTCCCTTAGCCTTCCTTAAAGCTGGCTGGTCACCTGACTTTTCCCTATGCCCAGACCTTATTTCTGTGCCTTGGTTATTGGGGGTAGGTGGGCATCAGTGTAGGAATGGGATAACATCCCCCTATATAATATCCCCTTCCCCCCTACACAAGCCCTTTCCTCCTTGACCTGCCTATTGGATGTAGAGTAAAAGAAGTGGCTGCCTGACAAGGGTTTATGATTCTCAGAGAAGAACCTAACTCCATCTTTCCCGAGGCTATCAGTGTCTTGAATACTCTACAAGCCCCCCTGCTATGTTGGGGGTAGAGGCAAAGTTTCCGCTCATGGTTATGTAGCTTGTACATTGCACAACTGCTAGAGGCACCATTCACCTCACAGTCACTGTATGTATAGTTACTATGACTTTTCTTGCAAATGGCAATCAGGTGGCTTGAGGAAGGGCTGCTTTTTTCTAATGTACACAGTTACTGTGAATGTTAGCCATAGAGCTGAGTGAGGAGTGAGTATGGAATACCAAAAAAAAAAAAAGTGTAGTGCCACAAATACTTGCTGAGCACCCTACTATAGGCCAGGTGCTCAGCTGAGATTGTGTTTAAGTTTGTGCTTAAGAACTGCTGTGTGTAGTAAGGGTGACATTTTAATACCATACCACAGTGGATGGCAGTTAATCACTGGTTCTCAAGGAAACATAGAGGTCCAGTGTCAGAACATCAGGGAAGGCTTCTTAGAGAAAGATTTTTTTTTTTTTTGCAGTACGCGGGCCTCTCACTGTTGTGGCCTCTCCCGTTGCGGAGCGCAGGCTCAGTGGCCATGGCTCGTGGGCCCAGCCGCTCCGCGGCATGTGGGATCTTCCCAGACCGGGGCACGAACCCGCGTCCCCTGCATCGGCAGGTGGACTCCCAACCACTGCGCCACCAGGGAAGCCCAAGAGAAAGATTTCTAAATGATAGTAGATTAATGGGTGAAGTGTTGCAGGCTCAGAGCCTCTGAGATGAGACCCGAATGGCTCCAGCGGGGGCAGAGAAGGAGAAAGATAAAGAGGTGACTAGATGGAGGGTAAAGGGAAGAGATCATCAGACTGTTAGAAACTATGACTTTAAGTACCCACTGCCCTCCAGCAGTTTCCAATCCACAAGTTGGGTGTTTGGCAAGGATAAGAGGGGACAAAAGTTTGAAGTCCTCAACCTGACTATAGGTATGAAGCTCTGTTCCTGATTCTGGGGAAGCTCCCAGCAGAAGGCTGCAAAGCTACCTGGGAAAATGGTCCCCTGGTATCCAGCCCTTCCAGTCTTGGTTACTGCTAAGGAGGAGAGATGGAAGTGGGGGAGGACCACAGAAGGGAGGCTCTGGTTGTGTGCCCAAAGGGCTTGGCTGGCCTTGGGCAGAAATTGGATCCCATAGCTCCTAGATGATAGCGGGGGGACATGGCCTGCCATGTAGGCTTGGGGAGAGCAAAGATCCAATTCGAGTATCAGGGTGGTTTGGTGCCACACATGGGCTTAGAGGTAGAGGGATGCTTATCCAGGCAGCCAAGGACTGTACAGCTGTTAGAGTTTCCTAGGCAGGTGCCTGCCTGGTTTCCAGGGTGGAAACGAAGTGGACCAGCGGTGGCCGACTAGAGCCCCCGCCCCGGTGGTAGGGGGCGGGACGGTCCTGGGAGAAGGGCGGGGGGCGGGGCCAGGGGCCACTTAAGGCGGAGCCCCGGCGTTCTGGCAGAGCCGGAGCCTGACGGCAGAGCCCGGCAGGATTGGCACTTACCCACGACCCCCCTTCCCTGCTATGATGGCCGGTCAGTAGCAGGTTCCAGACCCCCCGGGGGTATGTAGGCAGAGCTAGCGGCAGCCAGGTGTGCTGAGCCACAAGAGCTCTAGGGCACTCTGGGGGCAGCTCTGCCTGCTGCGCTCTCTGGTGCAGGGGGAGATGCCCAACTGACGAGCGAGCTGGTGAGGACAAGAACGTTCCCTTTTGGCCCGAGTCCGCTGCATCCATGGCGCTGCCGGCCAGTCTGGTGCCCCTGTGCTGCTTGGCACTTCTGGCGCTGCCGGCCCAGAGCTGCGGGCCGGGCCGGGGGCCGGTTGGCCGGCGCCGCTACGTGCGCAAGCAGCTCGTGCCGCTGCTCTACAAGCAATTTGTGCCCAGCGTGCCCGAGCGGACCCTGGGCGCCAGTGGGCCGGCCGAGGGGAGGGTGACAAGAGGCTCTGAGCGCTTCCGGGACCTGGTGCCTAACTACAACCCCGACATCATCTTCAAGGATGAGGAGAACAGTGGTGCAGACCGCTTGATGACCGAGGTAAGGAGGCCTCTCCCCACCTGCTCGAGGGCACCGCCAATTTCTCTGCTCTCCTCTGGCAGCTGGCGGAGGGGACGGGGGATGGTGTGAGCTGGACTTCATCTATAGGGACCTTGATCTCAAGGATCTACCTACACTCCTCACCCCTCACCCGCCCCCCACCCCAAAACACACACACACACACACACACACACACACACACACACACCCCTCTGCTGGCTGTACTGAGTGATCAGGAGGGATCCAGGGAGAGGCTGCATGGGGAGGGGGAGAAGGGACTAGTGAGAGTGAAGCTGGGAGAGACAGGGAGGGCGGGGAAAGGAGGATGGCGGCAGGCGAGACGGGAAATGGCTGAGGCGTGGACCGGGGGTCAGCTACCGAGCCAGGCAGGAAGGGCTGGGGTGAGCTGGGGGCCAGGAGCTGGCTAGGCAGCAGACAGAAAGCTCTACCCTTAGCCTGGCTCCTGACCTGATTGTGTTAAAGCTCTGTGGGCTAAAGAGACTGAAGGGGCTGGGAAAGGGGTGACCAAGGGTCAGGTCATCAGGCCATCTACCTGAGGAGGGGCTGGGCAAGAACTGTCTTTGGCATGGGGGAAGCATCTCAGAACCAAGGTAAAGCTATTCTAGAGTCTAAACGACTGTCCTGGAGTGAAAAGTGATCTTTGATGGGAAGAACAGATGGGCCCACCTGAGAATCAAAGGGTTCCTGTGTCCCTCAAACTCAGTGTAGCTCAGGGACTTTCCTTGGAATTAAAGGGTTAAAATGAATTCAACTACCATGTATCAAGCATCTGCTGCAGACCAGAACCTAACCAACCTATGGTGAGGTGTGAAGGCCCACCTCTGCCCTGTGATCTCAAATGTCAGAGCTGGAAGGAAACTTGGAGGTCACATTCTTCCACCCCCCCACCCCACCCCCACCCCCACCTCCCATTTTTACATGAGAGCTGGGCCCCAGGAGGAAAAGTGATTTAATCAAAATCTTGAAACTAATTAGTGGCATGCCTGGGACTAGAATTCAGGACTCCTGATTCTAAGTCCTATACACTTTCCATTACACCACCTAATTGTGTATGGAGTGGGGAGGTGGGGGGAGAGGGAGGGGTACGGATTTCCTCTGATTAACTGCCATAGTTTTCCAGGTTACTTTGTTAGGAAAACCTGTCCAGGGGAGAAAGAATTCCTTCTTGCTCTTGCCCTGAAGCATTCCTCCTCCCCAGAGATTGGGAAGGGGATACTCCTTCCCTCCTGGCCAGGGATGGAATATCCTGGCCCTTTCCTCTGGTTTCCACCTGCAGCAGAGGGGGCAGAACAAGGGATAGGCCCAGGAGAGGCTCTGACAGGCCTGGGAACCCCCCTCGGTCCTGCTTATCTCCCACACCCTGGCTGCAAAAGGCCTCCATTGAGTTGGCTCTGCACTGGGCTGCTGCCCCCGCAGGTCAAGGCCTCAGGGCCTCCTTAGGGGACAAAACGACAAAAAGTTGGAAGGAGTTACCACTTTTCCTGTCTTCCCCCTCCCCTCCTTTCCAACCCTGCGGAGGTGTAGAAGACTCGGGAAGAAGGGCAGGGGGGAAACGTCCCTCTGGCAGTTAGGAGAAAACCAAGTCCGAGGAGAGGTCAGAGCGGGGAGAAGAAAAGGAAGCTGTCCTCTCTGTGCCTCCTCCCGCGAGGTCCGTGCTGTGGTGCGCGCCAAGGTCTCCGGCTCCCAGACTGGAGCGGCCGAGATAACCGTGGTCTCACTCCCCCGGCGCAGGCTTCCAGCCGCTGCTGCTTTTCCTCCTCTCCACTCCCACCCTGCAGGGGGCCCCCCAGATCCGCGCAAGGGCTGCTCGCGTTATTCTCAGGTGTTACTCCCACGCCTTTCTGCGCTGCCTCCGGAGCAGAGACGGAGAGATTGGGGGCTCTCAGGGCTGGTGGAGCCCGAGCTGGAACTGGGAGGGCTGGCCGCGCTGGGGGAGGGGACCCGGCGGGCCGGAGCAGGGATGGGGGGCGCGGCTTTCTGCCCTTTCCTCTCTCTGAGCCGGGGCGGCTGAAAAGCGCCTTTGTGGATGGAGCTGCTGAGTCCGCTTCTCCCGGCGCGTCCCCGGCCTCGGCCCGGGATTCTCGCTCGGTTAAGTCATCCGGGAGAATGGCCATTGTACTTCGCGCAGCCCCCGCCGCCCCAACCCTTTTTCCAGCAGCCTAGATCCCGTACGGCTCCGCTTGGGCACCTCTGTGGGGGGGCACTCGCACCACGAAAGGGTTAATGCTAGGGGCTGAAAGGAGGAGGAGGAAGGAAGGAAGGAAGCGATGCCCGGTGCCAGGGAAGGCAACGAAACAAAAGATGAATCAGGCGGAGGGAGGGCAGCCGGGGCTTGGGGCGGGGGCCAGGCCAAAACAGGGGCTCCTCTCGCGGAGCCGGGCTGCTCAACCCCTCCCTGACCAAGCTTACACCCGCTCTCTCCACTCTTGCCCTCTCCCAGGTTGAACTGAGGTCCCAGAACAACTAGGGATGAGGGGCGGAAATTAAAAGTGGGGGAAAGAACTAGGTTTGGGCGCTCCCTCTCAATATCAGGGGTGACCCCACAGTTCGCCAACGACGTTCTGGAGAGCATAGATTAGCGACTACACCCATTCAGATTCTCACTTCCTCAGGACACTCAAAATCTGGGAGGGACTGGAGGGGTGTCGGGAAAACAAAGAAGAATTAACCCGCCCGCCCAGGTCGCTTTAGCCCCCATGCTGGTGGTAGTGGTACTGAGGAGACTGACTCCTTTATTCCCCGCCAGCGTTGTAAAGAGCGGGTGAACGCGCTGGCTATTGCGGTGATGAACATGTGGCCCGGAGTGCGCCTACGGGTGACCGAGGGCTGGGACGAGGACGGCCACCACGCTCAGGACTCACTTCACTACGAAGGACGTGCCCTGGATATCACCACGTCCGACCGCGACCGCAATAAGTATGGGTTGCTGGCGCGCCTGGCAGTGGAAGCCGGCTTCGACTGGGTCTATTACGAGTCCCGCAACCACGTCCACGTGTCTGTCAAAGCCGGTACAGTACGGGGTGGGTGGTGAGGTCCCTCCGGGAAACTGAGGGTACGCAGCCCTGTTGCGACTCTAGGGGACCCCAGGCGGGCGTTAGTGTTGTAAACCCCCTTCCATTTCTGCCCAGGTTAGGACCAGATCCGTGGGAACTTGCATGTTGTTCCGGGACTGGTGAGGTCTGCGCTGGGCTTGACCCACGTCTTTGACAATATGTACTAACATTCTGGAACTGGTCTCCATGCAATCCTCTCTCTGCTTGTCCCCTCCAGATAACTCACTGGCGGTCAGGGCAGGCGGCTGCTTTCCGGGAAATGCCACCGTGCGCCTGCGGAGCGGCGAGCGGAAGGGGCTGCGGGAACTGCACCGCGGTGACTGGGTGCTGGCGGCAGACGCGGCAGGCCGGGTGGTGCCCACACCCGTGCTGCTCTTCCTGGACCGGGACTTGCAGCGCCGGGCCTCATTCGTGGCTGTGGAGACCGAGCGGCCCCCGCGCAAGCTGTTGCTCACTCCCTGGCACCTGGTGTTCGCCGCTCGAGGGCCTGCGCCCGAGCCAGGCGACTTTGCACCGGTGTTCGCGCGCCGGCTGCGCGCGGGGGACTCGGTGCTGGCGCCAGGCGGGGACGCCCTTCGGCCTGCGCGCGTGGCCCGAGTGGCGCGGGAGGAAGCCGTTGGCGTGTTCGCACCGCTCACAGCGCACGGGACGCTGCTGGTCAACGATGTCCTGGCCTCGTGCTACGCGGTTCTGGAGAGTCACCAGTGGGCGCACCGCGCCTTTGCTCCTCTGCGCCTGCTGCACGCGCTGGGGGCGCTGCTTCCGGGCGGGGCCGTCCAGCCAACTGGCATGCATTGGTACTCTCGGTTCCTCTATCGCTTGGCGGAGGAGCTGCTGGACTGAGCGCTCCAGGCATAGAAACCTCGTGGCATCCGCCTAAACGGGAGTGTGCGGGCTGAGATCTGGAGATGTGGGCAGCAGACGATGCTGATTGGGAGGGAGGGAGGGATAGGGAGAAAATGGACGCGATGGTTTAGGGGCAACCTCTAACTGAGAGGTTGGGTCCTAAGTAGATGGGGTTGATGATGGGTACTCGTCGACGAGGACTATTTCTCCTCTTCTTCCCCAGTGCCTCAGCCCCACCCGATTATTTTATTTTATTTTCTATTTATAAATTGTAATATAATAATCTGCTTGCCCCGCCTGGCAAGATGAGGGGCTGGGGCACAGCGTTAACAGTTATCTGACATGGGAGCCAATCTGACATCTGACATTTTCCTACAAGTGGGCTAATAAAGGGAAGGCTTCCAGGAGCTTATTGGGAAATATCTCTATTCAGATGGTGATTTACCTCCAGATTGGGGGAGGGGGGTACGGAGAAAGGGAACCATACTTTACTTCCCATTCCCCTCTCCTTCCCCAGCAGATCGTCCCACCCTGCTTCCTCCTCTCAGAGGAGGCATCCCAATCGACCAGCAACAGAGATCAGAAGAGTCTGCCCTTTTCTAGGCTGCTAGTTCTTTTTCCCACCCAGAGAGGACTAGCATTCTGCCCACATGTTTGCATACCGACTGTTGGAGGGACCAGGGTTACCCAAGGAACAAGAAAACCCAAAAACGTCCTTTTTCTGTTCATAGGGGCTCCAGAGGTGGCTCAGGCCACTGTGGGTACTGATACTTAAAGAATTCTGGCCCCCAATTGTTAGCCTGCAGTCCTGGTCCCTCCCTCAAGAATCACCGTAATCCCCATCCTACTCTGGTGTAAGGGGTCTACATGGGGCTGATGTTTTTTGGGGGGATGTAACTGGACCAACTGATGACTCATGGGAATCCCTAGCTAATTCATAACTAATAGTCCCCACACACTCTTGATCAAGAGAAAGAACCTGGACAGAGGGCTAGAACCTATCCCTCCTGATGGGCTGAGCCCAGATGTATGGGGGTAGAGGGGGCACAGGCTCTCCAAGCAAGGGCACATAGGAATTAAAACCTGAGCCCCCTTCCTGATCACCTGTCCTGGTTGTTGTTTCTACTGGCTTCCTCCACCTTTCCCCTCTCCCCTCTCCCATTATTTCTAGCTCTGCTTTCCTGGCCTGGGTGTTTCTGGAACCTCTGGGTCCAACGCAGCAGACACCTGGAATCCAGGCAGGCAAGTGCCCCTGAGTTAGGAATGGAAGCTCCGAGGAAGTTGGACTGCACTGGAAGGAGAGTGTCAGGGCCCGGGGAATGGTAGGGGTTGGCGGTACCACCAGGAGCCCACCCTTCCCTGTAGCGGCTATGCTCTTCCTGCACAGGGTCCCTGCTATATACTGCCCTCTAGTGGCCTTCAGGATCGGTTCCCTTCCCCGCCAAAGGAAAAATGCTGCGCAGAGGGTGGACTGGATTTGTGCAGAGGAGCCTTCTGCCAGGATGCAAGAGATGGTGGATGGTACTTGTTAAGCTGCCAGGGCTTAGCCACAGGTATCAGGGGCTGGCGAGGAACCCACCTGCCTCTCATTTGGAAAGTGGCACTTTTGTATCCCTTGCACCTGGTTTAGCTCTGTGGCTCCTGGAAGCTGGAGGTATGGTTGTAGCCTGTAGTATTCCAGATTTCCATGTGCATCCAAGTTGCCGACTCACCTCCCTCACCCTGTGACACTTTGAGTTCAGTGTCTGGAGGTGAAAGCATACTTAGGGTTCCAGGTAGTGCTTGGTAAAGCCGACATTTGGAAGCAGGCTAAGTTTACCTTTAGTATCTTTCCACCTCCCATTTCCCTCAGTCCACACCAGGTGCCCATTACCACCACCCTCCCCCTTTCAGAGGGATTTCAGAAACACAGTCCAAGCTGTGGACCTTTCCTTCCTACTTTCTAAACCTGCTCTTGTCTCATTCTATCAGATCCTGATGCCCTACTGTCATGTCACTCCAGGTGATGACTAATCTGATAAACTAATTAGTATTTCTACGTTGGTAGGGCTGTTTTCACAGGCCTATTACATGATCAAAAGATCATGTAATGCATATATCTTAAAGGCCTGCTGAAAATAAGGCCTTAAACCATGAGACCATAATGGTGCTGATTCCTAGCACCTTAGTATGTTGGGCAGGAGATATCTGGGGACAAGGAGAACTAATTGGTTTCCCTTAAACTACATCCTGTAGATTACTCCCCAGGCCTGAGGCTCACCTCTCACCCTCAACTTCCATCCCTCCTTATTCTTGTCCCCTTGACGCCCTCCCAGCTTCCTAAAATAAAGTCCATTCCCTTCCCTCAAGCAGCAAAGAGTACCGTCTCTATGAAGATGGCCAGGAAGGCATATTTACTTGGCCACACAACATCTCCAAATGCAGCACCTCTTCTCATTAACAGAATTGGCAAGGAGGATTAGGGAAAGAAAGGGCATGGCTAGGAAGTCAGGCAGATCTGGAGATAATGATCCTTCCCTGACAGGATTGTTGACAATATCAATGTATGTGCCCAATGTGGAATAGATACCATTGAGTTTTATATGCTCTGCACCCGTTTCTCACTCCCTTTGCTGCTGTCTGCTGTCTGTCTGCTTCTGTCCTTACCACTCTACCAGAGGCAGCATTATCAATGGTTCCCAGACCTTTGGGGATTGTGTTGTCCCTATAATTGTTTGATTTCATAACACTCCGTTCTTCAGAAGGTGCTGTGTGACAGATTTAGGTTTGCTTTAGAACTAAAGTATAATTAAAAGTAATCTTGTTTTGAGAATTGCAGAGAATTTTGTGATCATCCTGGCAAGACCTCTCCACATACTGGGAAACTGGAGTTGAGAAGCACTGCTTTAAGGTTCAGGTGACCTTTTTATTGCCCAGAATCCAGATTTTTCTCCCCTTCCTTTCTTCAAGCAGGAGTTACTGAACATCTACAGTGTAGCACCGTATTAGGCACTGAAAAACACACCAAAATTAAGAAATAGCTTCTTAAAGGTATAAGATTGTTAGCTGCCAAAGCAACATTGTTACTTAATCAAGATGAGTTGAACGGGTGCTAAATGTCATATTTGTACATAGGAGGCCTTGTGGAGAAAGTAGGGCCTGAATAGGATGTTGTAGCCTGTGTAAGTGGAGGAGACTAGAAAGGCCATTCCAGACAGAAGTACCAACATGAGCGAGGACTTGGAATCTGGGATGAAGATGTGCAGGCTGGTTAGAGTAGGAAATTGGGAAATGTAACTATATGTAGCTAAAATTTCCTGAGAACTTACTGCAGGCCAGGCCCTGTTTTAGCACTTTACATACTTTCTCATTTGGCCCTCACAATAACCCTATGAGATAGTATTACAGATAAGGAAAATTGGGGCAGGCATAACGAAATAAGAATGCCTCGATGGGGGCTTCCCTGGTGGCGCAGTGGTTGAGAGTTTGCCTGCCGATGCAGGGGACACAGGTTCGTGCCCCGGTCCGGGAAGATCCCACATGCCGCAGAGCGGCTGGGCCCGTGAGCCATGGCCACTGAGCCTGCGCGTCCGGAGCCTGTGCTCCGCAACGGGAGAGGCCACAACAGTGAGAGGCCTGCGTACCGCAAAAAAAAAAAAAAGAATGCCTTGATGGGTGGGGCCACATCCTATGGGACCTTAAGCTGGTTTTGACTCTTCCTCATTCCCTCCATTGGGTCACTAGTAAGTCTAGCTTTCTGACAGTTATTTCTCTCTCATTTTCATTGGCTCTTCTTCCTCCTGCCTGGATGACTGGCTTCCTTAACTAAAGCAACCTAGCTACCAGTTAAGGAAATACAGATGTGGGTGCAACTCTCTGGCAGTCATCCATGGCAGGTTGGTACACCAAGCCAGAAAGCATGAGAAGACTCTCAGCTCTTTTTGAATTAGAGGAGGGGAATGTTGCACTTTGTTATGGACTGAATGCATGTGTCTCCCCCCAGATTCATATGTTGAAGCCCTCATGCCCATGTGGCTGTATCTGGAGATGGGGTCTCTAAAGAAGTAATTAAGGTTAAATGAGGTCATAGGAGTGGGCCTTGATCTGACAGAATTAGTGTCCTTACAAGAAGACATAGGAGAGAGCTTGCTTTCTCTCTCTTCACATGTGCAACGAAAGGCCATGTGAGGCCATAGTGAGAAGGCAGCCGTCTGCAGGCCAGGAAGAGAGCTCTCACCAGAAACCAAATTGGCTGGAACCTTGATCTTGGATTTTTCTAGCTTCTAGAACTATGAGAAAATAAATGTTTGATGTCTAAGCCGCCCAGTCTGTGATATTTTGTTATGACAGCTCTAGCAGAATAATATAAGCTTCCAGAAATGTTTGAAATAAGAAGAGGCCAGTGCTAAGATGGGGTCCTTAGTGAAGAGAAACAACTCTGCTTGAAAAATTAGCATTTCTGACCTAGAGCCTTGAGATGTGTATCCCTGACTGTGCTTTTGTGGTCCCTGCTATATTGGAGGAAGCGTTCTTCCCTGTCTGGGTAACTGAGGCAGCTGTCTATGGGAAGCAGCTTATGGCTGGTTAGGGTAGTTTCCTGTGGGGGATTTTGTGGCCAATTATCATATTCAAACCTTCCTTTCCCTGTTATTGTCTCTATATGTGACTTGGTTAATGATGAACATCTCCCATGAGAAAGCGGTATCTTTAATAAGGGTTTACTGAGTGCCTACTCTGTGTCAAATATTGTGTTGTGCCTTGGGCATAGGACAATAAAGTCAGGCATCGCTCCTACGGGTCATCTGGTGAGACAGGCATAAGTGGTTAGAAGGTTGTTGAGTGTGGTAAAGAGATGAGAAGTGGCATTTAAGCTGAGACCTGTACGGTAGGTAAGAGTTGTTCAAGCCGAGGGAACAGCATGTGCAAAGGCCTGGAGTTGGGGAGCAACAGTAGGATGAATCTGAGGAGCATCGACAAGTTCAGTATAGTGAGCGGGAGATGGGGTCGACTTTAAGGATTTTCAATCCTGTCTGGAAGTTGAAAGCAATTGCAGGATTTGAAGCAGGTGAGGGGAAAAGTCAAACTTGCATTTTAAAATAAGGAAATTGGGGCTTCCCTGGTGGCACAGTGGTTGAGAGTCCACCTGCCGATGCAGGGGACACGGGTTCGTGCCCCGGTCCGGGAAGATCCCACATGCCGCGGACCGGCTGGGCCCGTGAGCCATGGCTGCTGAGCCTGCGCGTCCGGAGCCTGTGCTCCGCAACGGGAGAGGCCACAATAGTGAGAGGCCCGCGTACCGCAAAAAAAAAAAAAAAAAAAGGAAATTGCCGGGACTTCCCCGGTGGCCCAGCGGTTAGGACTCCGCACTTCCACGGCAGAGGGCAAGGGTTCCATCCATGGTCGGGGAACTAAGATCCCACATGCCATAAATAAATAA